CGAACAATCAATTATAATATTATATTATACGCCGTGTATGCAATCAAATATTTACGTACACATCTGAAATATTAGCTTCGTTTTATGATTAACAGTATACATCTACGTCAAACAATAATATATTTTATCAACATAAATGTAATATCACGTGTGAGTATAAAAATTACCAGTATTATGGGTATATCTTAACACGCGGGTTCATTATGATTATTTTTTTCTTTCATTATGACGACCAATTACACACAATGACCAATGACTTGATATATATTGTTATTATTTTAATATAATTCGAGTCAGCCATGCTTAAATACAATGTAGTTGTACATGATTATCGTGTACCCAGATTAAAAATAAATAATATTACATCCTTGTCTCAATATTTAATATATAAAGGTAATAAAGGATTTTTTATTGAAAAGGCTTAATAATGTACTTATAGCTCAGGGACAGTAACGTTAAGTCACTTTAGAGCTATTTCAGAACGCTTTATTATATCATATCCTAATATCCGTTTTGTGAAAGTTATAACGTAGGTAAGTCACTATGAGCTTTTGGTAATATGTGGCGTTGGGGGATTTACTATACCCTTCCTTTACAAGCACTGAGCTTAGTAAAGGGATAAAAGAAAATATTACTGTACTCACATGATTGCGTATTCAACGAAAAATACGCATCCGTGTATTTAACTTTTATAGTTATATGACAACTGAAACATTCGTGTAACTTAAAACTTATTAAATGTATTTATTTATAATTAATTGCAAAATTTAGGTTTATGCAGATTTATACAATCTCGATAAATCGAGTACAAATGGTATTACACGCATACACCTAAAAACTTAGGATATCCATACGTGTTGTATATTTATCTTCCAGTTTTAATTGTATATCTTTCTTTTAAAATGATTCTGAATTTTAGTGATTTATTATTTTTGAATACGTTTCTACAATATCAATAATAATTTTGTTATTCTATAAATATATATATATCAACTATTTACTTTATATTATGGTGAATAACATCATTTTGTATACTTTAGTGGGTCGTTATCGGGCTTGCAATATTGGAACAGAGCCAAATATATATTATAAACCAAGTTGCAGAATGTTGTACTCGTGACAGGTCTGTATTAGTTTTTACGGTCCCGTTAAAAAATTAGTTGCGATGTCGTTGACATACAACTGGATGTTGCTTCATAAATTTAAAAATTTTACTGGTTGGAAATCACCTTAGGACTGATATTTATCGTTATACTATCCCCGGAGAATTTTCCCGCGTTAGAATAATTTATGCGGTTCTATGTAATTTTTTTCCCTCCATTTTAGGAAATGTTACATATTTCACAAAACAGCAGCTGATTCGAAAAAAAGGTCAGGAAAACTGTACACTTTGAACTCTAACCCTTGTGAAAAATGAGATTCGGTCAAACGGATTTAGTACATATTTGTAAAAATATTATACATGTATTTTTTTTAATTTACATTTTGTGAACAATGTCAAATAATACTAATAAATAATGGTTCATATGGAAAAGAGTAATGTATCGTAAAATTATTTTGAAATGATTAGTTTTTTTAAAAAAATATGTTGTTTGCCAAAGAGAAATATTAACAACAGTTAAAACTTTTCCATTATAATTTACTTTAATCATTCATCGTTTGTGTGAAATCAATTAACATTTCATAAACTTTTTTTATAGAACATTATTAAAATTTTTTAAAAACTTTTTGACATATAAACAAAAGTTAAGTACAAAAATAACAGGAACAAAGAAATTTAGTTAGTTGAGATGTTGTTTAAATCAATATAGGTAAATTATATTATTTTCTACAATTGTTTAAATACAACAAAATTATATTTTTTGTTCGATTACCTATACTATTTTATATTATACTCTGATAAAACAAAAAAAAAAATAATAAATATATAATATTTCAATTTATCAAATTTATAATTTATTCTTATATTAAAATATAAAATCGTTATTCAAATTTAGGTACTTTTATTTTTTTATTATTGAAAACAAATAAATAAAGACAAATACATTAGAATATCAAAGTGCCAAAACACGATGATGTCGTTTACTATATGATTTCTGGTTATCGTTTTGAAGGATTTTTATAATATTAACTGCATAAAAATAACAAAAATATGATATGTCTGCCTATAAATTATGATCTGTTTAATAAATAGAAGGCACATTTAAATGTTATCATGAATTATGGAACAGTATTTTGGTGAGGTCGTTATAGACGATGCTAAATTATAGTTCCGGTATAATTTTTGCACTTGTCAGACTAAATTCATTAAATTTATAATCACAATTTTAAATTACTCATATTGATAAATAATTATTTAATACACCTATGTAAGAAATAAAAAAGTAAAATTTAAAATAATTCAATTTTTAAATTCTTTATTATCTGTATAATACATAACAAATTTACTATTGTACTTTTTTTTTCGTAATTGCTTTACAAAGTTTTGAGAAATAATTTATGACAGTAATATATATATGTGTATGTAATAATATAAAATATATATAAATCAAAAATTAACAATTCACTCTTTATCAATGTCGATTTATTATTTTTTTTCTTAATAATTTTATTTGGGTTGATGATAGATAATTTAAGTCGTTTTCTTTAGTCTCTATGTAAAACAAATAAAAACTAGTTAAATCTACTCGTATTCTGAAATAATACGGGTGAACATTTAAAATTAAAGTACAGAAATCAAGAAAAAATTATGAGAAACATTAAAAATATTTATAGGTTGGTAAAGAAAACATAGAGAAACCTGCATTAGTAACAATATGTTAAACTGCTTTTCTGGTAAACGATCAGGAATAAAAAAAAATAAAGGTTTCCCGTTATATGTACTACACAAACATTTATAGAATACGATAAATAAATAATATATTGATATACATGTTATTATATTGTGTATTTACAGTGATCTGATTATTTTTCATGCATGTTTTTAAAATGTTGATTTTTTTTTCTTATAGTCATAAATTCAAATTTGTTTTAAGCATAGATTTTTGCATACGAGAAGTATAATGCAATGACAATTTAATTAAACTCACTAAACTTAACTTTTCTCTCGTCAAAAAAAAAAAAAGAAAACAAATTTAATCAGCATGAAATGAATTAACCATTTTACAAGTCTCGCAAAAAATAAAACATCAAAAATCATTTTCAAATAAAAACAAGGCCGAGTCATTTCAAATCAAATTTAAAATTTAATAAATTTACATAACATTAATATTATAAATTATTTTATATTAAAATGGTAATTGAAAACAACAGCTTGTGTTACAAGTACTGAAATACTTCGTATTTATTTTTAGCCGCGTTCTCTTGGATTCATTATCTAAATGCTGTTCGATGTAAACTTTAGATTTAATTAATAGGTAGGCATGTATTTATGTGCAAGAATAATTGCTATGTATTTTATATGTTATAAAAATGTACATATAGATTTCAATCGCCTCGATTAGTCATTTAACCGAAACTTTGAATACCATATTACAAAAACGCTTAGATTATACTTTACGAGTACGCTCGTAAACCATAACGATGACATAATCGTAGCATAATGGCGTATGAACACTGCGTTATTATACATTATCAGCTAAAAAATTCCTTGAAGAATTCCATCGGACGTTACGCATTCTATCGGATCTATTTAAATATCGTCACTAAATCAATTCCATACAACTATATGCAGTAATTAATAATAATATATTATGCATGTACGATGTCGTATTTTGCGATACAATATAATGTAGTGGAGGCGAATCAGAATACGATCGAGTGAATAACGGATCGAAACATTAAGACAAAACGAAAAAACGTAAGACTTTACCCGCGGCCGTAGACACCCGGTGAGCACGTTACACGGTCGCGTGGGACGTCATCCGATCGTTTAAATTTTTATCGTTTTATAACCATTGCAACAATATATAATTATTAATATTACAGCGTAAGTGATTTACACGCTAGAGTTGCCCACTGCCAGATCATATAATACCATTCATAATACATAATATATTATCATTAATTCAGAGCACATGGAGTTAGATGCGCTCGACAATATTATATGCTTGAAAAACATTTTATTTAAAAATATATTATTTTAACTTACACGTTTCATAATAGTTATGTCATTACAACGTATATCTTAACGATTAAATGTACATAAATCAGTATGTGACACCAGTAATTTACATTCAGCCCCTTCGAGAACACATGCAGTTGCAGTAATCAGGTAATCTACAGTCTGGGCGCTACTGATAACTTATCACCGTGGTCGAGACTTGACGCAGGTGCCCATGTCCTATTCCTGTATGAATGTCCGCGCGAATGCAGCTGCGATAACTCAACAATGACCGCTGCCGTCACAGCAGATAAAGACGACCGAGTGCGACGAGAAAACGGCGATCAACATTTTAGTACAATATATCATTATCGGCATACATAAATTATGATGGAAATATCGTAAATCGTATTCTGGTGACGCGATAGGAACGGTATGACATCGCAAGTGACATGTGCCGTCAACGACGTTTGATCGTGTAACATTACGTGAGCACGAAAACGAGCAAGTTTTCGCAATGTCAGCCAGAACAGATCGTTCACGACTGTAGTGACGAGTGTATGATAGTTTCACCAAACCGAAAATGTACACATCACAGGTCGCCGCGTTACAGAGTCTCGAAAAACGTTGAAATGTGGAAAAAGCTGATTATTAGCAAGAGAGCGATAGCGTTTTAGTAAGTCGGTATGTAAATACAGACGGTTCTTAGTAAACCGTTTGATCACTGTTCCTTTGCGAAAACCCGCTTATCAATGTACGCGGAGAACGATGACGATAAAAAAAAATATATATATATATATATAAAAATATATATATGTCTCGAAATTATTGATTTTAACGAAATAAAATAATATATAGAAACGATATCTTGTGGATCGCGATGGTGATCGGCTCTTACCTTACTCGGCCTTTGCCGTACAGGAACCTGTCGATGACGACTGCTCCGGGGTGCAAGTGAATCTCGTGCTGCTGCTGCGCTGCGTGTGTCGAGCGCGATCGCCGGGAACACTCACCCGGTCGGTCGTCCAGCGGGGTACGGAATATAATATGATATGCGGATCGGAGGCGCCAGCGACGGTGGCGACCACGACGGCGGCGATTGCGACGACGACGACAACGACGGTGGCGGCAGTAGCGGCAGTGGCGGCGGTGACGACGACGTCGGTGGCGGCGATGGCGACGGCGACGACGACGACGCCGGCTCGATTCCTCCGGACACACAGCAGAGCGAGTTCGATATTACCGGGTGCGGTTGTACCTGCGCACACGGGCGGACCGGCGGCGGCGCGGGCCCTTCGCCGCAACCACCGACGCCACCGCCGGAGTGTGTCCCGCTCGGCCCCTTCTCTTGCCTCCATACAGGACGGTCGGAAAATCGATCGCTTTGCCGCCGCCGCCACCACGTGCTAACTGCAGCAGTCCGTTTCTCGCAGATTACGGAGAACTCACCGCCGGACATACGAATCGGCCGAGCAATAATAAATTGATCGTTATTGCGCTGATGTCCGTTGCGCATAGAATCCGTAAATCTTAAAGCGCCCAGCTCGCGCGGTGCATCGTCCTATTCGTGGGAAAACGTAAACAAATCGCGCCGTCGGAAAGCACAAACGATACGGTTTACGTTGTTCGCACGCATAATCGTCCGGACGGGCGCAGATCTAGATATCTGTGATTTGGGAGGGGGGATGGATTTCAGTACACAACTAAAATCATAAATAACATCTTATCGTAGATAATAGGATTTGATGAAAAATCGATTTTAAGACGTATAAAAATTACATAAATAAATACACAACGATACACAACATTTCCGAAGTGAAGTGGGTTGAAGTCCCTTAGTCATCTGCACGCGATCTCAGCTTATTGCAGTGTATATAGATTCGACGCGATTTTCACCCTTAAGCTCGACCCCGTACTCCATCACCAAAATTATTATGTAAATACACTTCACGCCAAACATGGCGGGCAACAAGTCATACTATAATTATAGTTAAATTTTTTAGTTTAAGTTTATAATATCATTATATCAACCAACAACACGAGTCAGAATATCTATCGTACGCGTGCATAACAACAACAACGTCGATATGATAGTTATGCGACCATTCTGTAATGCTGACGAAATATTTCATCAGCCACCTGACTCTCGTGTAATCCTTAATCTTAAAATATAATATATATCTGAGTGTGTGTACGTCATCGTAGTGAGCGACGCGTGACGCGACTATGATCATATTTCAACTTTGTATACTACGACCGGTATGAGATGAGAAACCAAATACGCCGAATAGAGAGAGGAAATAAAAACTATTTTTCTTTGTTATTCTTCTTGGTAAATTGCTTTTCCGGACCGGATTGCTGTCGCCATACAGTTTACATGATTCACCGCAGACAAGAATTTGAATAAAACGAGACGAAAAAAATCCTCGTTGACGATACAGGAAACGAGAAAATCCGGACGAGAATCACATATATTATGTATTATTTGTCTGTCTACACACAATTTATTGACAGCCTCCCGCACGCATTTCAATGTATAGAATGTAATTTAATTGAAACGATTTGATAACAATATAATAATAAACATGTAGACGTATATATCAAACGATCGTGATAAAAAAAAGATGTGCCACCTGAAAATAAATGTATACATTTATATTAGATTCGTGTCGCACGATTAGATTTGCGTTTATACGTGTCCCGCGATGGAAATCACGTACAGTAGTTGTAAATTATAATTTATAATAATATAATATTGTGATAATGCCTAAACTTCCAAAGTAAACATCGGTTTTATGAGGTTTATAATAAGTTATACGTATACACTATACAGATGACGCATTACTACTAGAATTATAAATAACATATTTACTATTGTATTAGTTGCTTTGAATATAAGTCTTAACAAGAAACTTTGTAAATTTTCGATTTTTAGTTCGTCCGTGTTGCAATGAAATATATATTAACTCATAAGTCGTATTAATAACTTATGTTTGTCCGAAACTACTTATTTACTTTGATAGCTTTTTAACAGTCAAAGTTTTATAGGTATCGAATGTCAAACTTACAGCCAGTGGTTAGTGATTCCAGCAATATAATATTCAAACGGATGCTTCTATACTATAAAGTATTACATTTGTTGAAAAAGGTATTATGTACCTGCATAATCTATGTTTTTATTAACTCATTTCTTAATATGCTTTACTAAAAAGTTCATGATAAATATTAAAATAGAATAAATAATAAACTATTTTAATCATCATTACTGAACGCTGAACTCATTACTAAAAATTAAAAATACTACAAAAGAAAAGTTGTATTTTTGTATCATCTTTTGTGGTATTTAAAAATAGTAATGCACATCTACAAATTCAAAATTAAACACGTCAATAGATACACTTAAGTTTAAATCGGTATTTTCAGATTTCCCCGAAATTTCGGAGAAATTGTAAAAAAAAAATGATAACAAGCATTCGTTTAAATATTGAATTTTTTACTCAAAAACCAAGGTACATGAAATAATAGCTGTTCTTTATAACCTATTCACTTCAAATTTATTTTAATTAGTTTACAAATCGATTAATTAATTTATATTTTTTATTATTATTAAACTTTGGACATTAATTATTAATCTTGATAGTTACTATACATTTATATATGTTTTAAGTTATTGAGTATACATATAGCTATATATACATTGTGAATTACCACACAGGATTCTGAATTATTATTCATATTATATACTACAATTTAATAACTAGGAAATTATCCATTCGAAATTTATAATTAAAATGCATCAAATCATTGAAAAATTATCTACATAATCATTTACAATGAAAATAGTGGTTTTAGTTTAAAAAAAAATCTTCATATCAGACTCATCCCTAATAGTATAAAATAAATATCTATTAAAGTATTTGAAAATAATATGGTCTTTATTAAGTGCACTTAGAAAATCAGAATTTTACTAAAAAATATTATTAAAGAATAAAAGGAGATTTACCAACTAAATGCTTGTTAAATTATCCAGTATAAAAAACTTATTTAATTTAAACCTAACATAATTCTATTAAAATTTTATATCTATACTTGCAGGTAAAAAATTTACCATTGTTTATAATAAATTGAATATAAAATTAAAAAGTTAAAAGTAATTTTATCTATATTTTCTTTAGAACTTTTTATCGTGTTACTTTGAACATTTACTTTGCATTATTTGTTTATTTGTTTAATTTTTTTTTTTTTACTGATAAGAAATCCCCAGTAATATCTTCTAAAAGTTCTCTATAGGGATTCGTGAACTATAAAAGATTAAAAACAAAATAAGAGCTGTTGTTTATGATGTATTAAAAATTTTTATCACATTTATTACAATAAAAAAAGTTTAAAAACGTAATTTTAATATTAGTGTTTACGCTTTTTATTAGTTGAGTGATATTTTTATTTTATTTTTAGAATATTATATATATTTTTTCATTACTAAATTATTTTATAACAATATCTATATCGTAAATATAATTTTACAATTTAAGTATAATTTTATTATGGTTAAAAGTATTTAAATATTTTAAATTTAAAATTATTGACATAAAGGGTAAATTTCCTTGAGTATTTAAAAGAAATCGAAATATAATTAGTTTTTTGTATAATTAATACATTTAAGATAGTTTTTAAGGCAAAACTAACTAATTATATTTATATTGAAGTCTAGTAATTTAGTGTAATAAGGAAAAAAGATATAGTTAAAGTATTTTTTTTAAGTTCAAACATAAATACAATTAAAGCAACATTTTTTAATATCCATCGAAAATTAAGAGTTAAATTGAAATAATAAAATCGTACCTAAAACGTAGAAAACAGACATCACAACGCAAACTGTAAAAGCAATGTCTAGTTTTATTTAGTCATTCGACAAAAAAAGTATAGGTGTTAATTTAATTTAATATTATTCTTTTGTTGTGTTTTAAATTTCAACTATTTGTTGTTACCTTGAAATTTCGCATATTTTTTTTATGAGACAATTTTTTTTTTTTGTTTTCTATGCCTAATATAATACATAAATAAATATAATCAGGAATTGAAGATTAGTTAGTTAAAAACAATAAATATCAAGAACACATTTTTCTATTTTCGATTTTTATAAACTTTAACTATAATCATAATAATACAACTAGAAAATATTAAATTCGACAAATTAGACATCTATAAGTTTATAGCTAATAATTCTAAGTATATAGTATACACAATATACGTTTAGGTATATTGAATCAACATTCTACATATTGACAAAATGTATTATGTACATTTTACGAATTATTATTTAAACAATGCATATCTATTTTATACCATTTGATTAATAATAAATTTTAATTTTGTGTATCATTAAAAGACGTTAAAATTAATTATATAAGTTGTATAACACTAGCTGGTATTTAATTTATATAATATATTATATGCAAATAATATAACGTTTAAAATAAAATTATTACAATTTTAACTTTTTCCTACGTAAAATAGAAAATAAGTTATGTTAATACAAACATATGTTATTATATTTTATCATTAACATTACTTGTTGCTTAAATTCAATGTTATACACTTATACGTCATAGATATACGTAATAACATTATCAAATCTCATGCTAAAACAATTTATGACGAAATATGAATACAACATGTAGCAAAATAGTATAATATTATAATGTTTTGTTAAAATTAAAGCGACTTTATAACAGTTAATTCGGGTATTACGCGTCACTTGTGGTTTATGTTATGTGGGTTTTTGAATTTATGATTTTTAAGGGTTAATACAATGTTGAGGGTTAATTTTAGTGCAAATCCTTGAATGAAACAAAACAAATTAATTAAAAACAGGCATGTGCCATGCTGTTGATATTAATCATAAATTTAAAGTGGGTAGGTATTAACTATTAGATATTACGATAAACCAGAACAAACTGAATAAATAATTTTAAAGTATACTTCATAAATTAATAATTTTTATGGTTTCACATGTCACGTTCAAAAACAAAGAAATATCTTAATTTAAGAATTATGAACTTTTGTTTTTAGTTTTTACTGCATTTTTATATTGTATGTTTGTAACAGTGGATAT